TCTCTCTCTCTCTCTCTCTCTCTCTCTCTCTCTTGTGGGTTGTACACGAATATAATTTATTATATTTGATTATAATTAACTTTTGTTTTAATTATTCAACCTAATATGAAGATCTCAACCCACTATGCAGCTGAGAGCTGTGGCAGTCAGTCGTAGTGTTTGCAGAGAAGATATGATGGGATGTAAAGCATGAGATCAGTCAGGACTCTGAAGCTGACTCAAAGAACAAACACTTATTTTAAACTGGATCCATAACTGTTGGATTGTGTTCATCCCTACAGGATCAGAGAGGATGAGACGATCAGAGCCAAGATCCAGAAGAACTGTGAGTACTGAATATCCTCCATTCATCAAGATATGAAACTCTTTCATGGAGCATGTCCTCAGAGGAAAACAACACTCTTGTTTCTCTCTCTTCATCATTTTGGCTGTTTCTCTTCACAACAACTGTCTATCAAAACAGTGACGCGTTCACTGACACTCTGTAAAATGTAAATAAACTCTGAAGAATAAAACACATGAAAACATCAACATTATAACCAGTCTGTTACAGTATTACCATCAAAATATACTTCAGTAAAAGTAGAAGTACTCAGATCTTGTACTTGAGTAAAAGTAGAAGTACTCAGATCTTGTACTTGAGTAAAAGTAGAAGTACTCAGATCTTGTACTTGAGTAAAGTAGAAGTACTCTGATCTTGTACTTGAGTAAAAGTAGAAGTACTCAGATCTTGTACTTGAGTAAAAGTAGAAGTACTCAGATCTTGTACTTGAGTAAAAGTAGAAGTACTCAGATCTTGTACTTGAGTAAAAGTAGAAGTACCAGAGTGTAGGAATACTCTGTTACAGTAAAAGTCCTGCATTCAAAATGTTCCTCAAGTAAAAGTAGAAAAGTATTCTCATCAAAATATAGTGAAAGTAGCGACAGTAAAAGTAGTGATTGTGCAGATTGGTCCATTTCAGAATAATATATATGATATGTTTTATAATGATTGATCATGAAAGTGTTCTCAAAGCTGGTAAAGGTGCAGCTAGTTTGAATGAGTTTGTATACTGCAGGGTAGCTTGTGAATTTACTCCAGAGGCCTGTACTACGAAGCTGGTTCAACCTAACCTGGATATGTTTGAGTTAGCCGGTTGGCCCAATCCAAAACATACGCGCTCTGGCTAAACTGTACTACGACGCTGGTTATCAAGTGGATCGCTCAAGCCAGCCGTGTCCTATCTAGTTAGCTGCGCGTTCACATGAAAGGGGTGGTATTTGGAGCATTCGACCAATCACAAACACGGACAAGCGTACTGACAGCGCAGCGTCATACTTCCTGAATGAAAAGTGAACTTTAATATTAGTCAAATATGAAGAAGTTAAACTTTAAACATCCATGACTTAAACACTTTATCCAGGATCAAAGCCACATAGCTGCACCTGCAAGGTGAATACAGCTGGTAACAGAAAAAGCGTTTGAATGCGTACATTAACACGTTTATGAAATCACTGCCCCGTCCAAGACACGATCTGACTTTAGTTACATTTGACTCGAGTGTTTCGTCAACTTAATGTGTTGCTTAAAATAATACTTCTGCATCCAGTATGTGACACTGTGAGTGTTGCACGGCCAGATACGGCTCAGCTGACTCAGATAAGGAAATATATGATTTCAAGTCTGATTTAACACTTGATTATATTTCACATCATTCATCCAGATCTGTAAAGTAACTAAAGGTATTAAATACATGTAGTGTAGTACAAGTACACCATGTACCTCTGAACTGTAGTGGAGTAGATGTTGTGTCTCATCAAATGTGTTAGTTATGTTTATGTATTTTGTCAGTCATTTCCTGTTTTATTTTGTATTTACCTCTTGTCTTTGTTTTCTTCCTCCCCGTGTGTTTTTCCTGCCATCATCAGTGTCCCTGGTTGTTTCCACCTGTTCCCACTCACCTCATGTTTAAATAGTCCTGTCTCTCCCCTGTCCTGTGTCAGTTCGTCTTGTTTGTTTCCTCGAATGGTCGTGCCAAGCCTCAGCTCTGAAAGGATCGCTTTTCACTCTTGTCAGGTTTTGTTGTGTTTGTTTATTTTGTTAGGCTTACGTTTTTATTAAGTCCTCTTTTTGTTACGCTAGTTGTTTCCTCCTTGTGAGCACCTTTTGTTATTTCCACTACCTACTCGGTTAAGAGGGATTACCTGATCTGTTCAAATAAATACACTTTTTTATTACATTCAAGACTTTGTCTCTGGGTCGTGCATTTGGGTTCATCAGTTTGTGTCGAGGTCCTGACAGTAGAAGTACAAAGTAGCATAAAAGGTAAATACTCAGGTAAAGTACAAGTACCTCAACATTGTACTAAAGTACAGTACTTGAGTAAATGTATTTAGTTCCTCTCCTGATCTGTAAAGCTCTCCCAACATATGCAGGTTAGCATCCGGCAGCTTCTATGTGCTGGGGACCCGTACTGTACATTCCTCTCATCACACTTTGGGCTCCTCAACATGTGTGGGTTCCCAGCAGGACTCTCTGAGCTGCAGACACATTCTTTCTGTGACTTTGTTCCAGATATTTGGAGCATAATAACTGAAGCTGTTTCTCCATGTTCAGGAACTCCCATCCCCCGAGTCCTGCGGCAGGAAGCGCTCCTTCTCTCCAAGAACTCCTGGACCCTGCAAGCTGGTCCAGAACCAGAGTCCCAGTGAGGAGTCCAGCCAGTCCACCTCTCAGAGTTAAACTAAACTACAACATTATTAAAGATCATGTTTAAAGTTAAAAAAGGATGCTTTCAGACTGAATCCAGAAGTTTCTCAAGCTGCAGTCAAAGCAGGTCATTTGAGGAATATATAAAACAATTATAAAACTGTAATAAGAATTACTCTGAATACTTTCTTTGGACATTTTATTTACATTTGTTTTAAACAAATATTTCAAATGTTTCTGACTTTCTATCCGAGTGCTTTTCTCATGAATTAACGACTTCAATCTTCTTTCTTTTCTCGTGTATTTCATAAACAGGATATTGTTGTTTGTACTTATATCCTGATTGCTGAGTCAGCAGTAAAGCAGCCAGGCGTTAACGGTCAGCTGGCATGTGTATCTGTTCATTGGCTCATATGTGTAGCATGTTTAATGGCAGTGTGTTGAAAATGGCTGACAGGTGAATATGTCAGATCTCTGTGTGTTACTCAGAGAACCGTGTGCAGTGTTTTAGAAAGTGCAGAGTTGAATTGCAGATTGTGTGCAGAGCTGAAAATGTGTTTAGAGTTCTGTTTGATTTGATCCAGCCAGTTCTGCCGCAGCAAAGCATAAGGGCTCAGAGCTTGGACCTATTGTGTTCACATTATATACGCTTCCTTTAGGCAATAAGGAATCACTCGGGACATTTTCATTGTTATGCGGATGATACTCAATTATACACAATGTAGACAAAAGTATTGGACCACCTACACATTAGAGAGATACCGCAGGTCCTTCCTTCCTGCAGCGGTCAGACTATATAACCACCACGACCCCTAGTAGACCCCCCACACAACAACACAGACTAGAACACCTATTATCATTTCTTTCTTTTTAAATCTTTAATACTTTGTTGTATGCATGCTTTAGGTAACATGAAGCTGTCTCTGGCTCTTTCTGCTGTAACAATGTACATGTATCCTCTGTGGGACTAATAAAGGAATTCTGATTCTGATTCTGATTCTGATTCTGATTCTGATTACACCTCCAGGAGCTTTCAGGACATCCCATTCCAAACTCTTAGGCATTCATTTGAAGTTGGTCCCCCTTTGCACATTTTGTAAAACTAAAGCCAGAGAGAGATTTCAAACTGAGACAGGAGTTATTATTGTTGTACTTAAATTGAGTCTGTTGCACAAGCTGTCAATCATTTTATAATGTTCTATATATTTTAATTTATATTTTTAAAAATGGACTTGCTCCAAAAAGAAATTGGGAGACAATTTAGATTTTTCTTTAATTATAATTTTCGAGGAATAAAGTCAAGAAGTTTAAGAAAGAATAAAGACAGAGAATAAGGTATACATGTGAACATGAATGAAGCCCACAGAGAACAGAGAAGCATAACTTTAATAATGAACATGATCAAATCTAAGGATGTGAGAGTGACCTCTGATACGACACATATTTCATTCAGGAGGGAGAGGAGGAGGAGGAGGGGGAGGAAGAGCAGGAGGAGGATTAGTTTAATAAGCCAGGTGATGCATAACTCAAAAATATTTACCTAACATTTACGCTTTCTAACGCCACACCCTTTGCACACTTCACGGAACGTCCACACGGCAGCGTCGCGTTGAAGCTTGTCGGTGGGCGTGTCTGCCGTGCGACCAACAACCAATCACATTAATCTCCCGCCCCGGACACACAAGCATGCGGTTTGATTGGCTAGAGCTTGTACTGGCATATGATTTGATTGGCTGGCGCTTGAATAGTTGAACTTTTCTCAACTTTCGAAGCGAGCAACGGAGGAGGCAAAGCGACGCGAGGGAACCACAATGCAGTTCGGCAAAGCGTCACGTCACCCCATTCAAAGTGAAGGGGAAGCGTCTCCGTTGAAGCACGCGACGCTGCCGTGTGCACGTACCGTCAGTGTACACATCAACCCGCCAAAATAAAACACCCCTCACATGTTAATAGACTTTTTTCTGATAATATAAAACACAACAAACAGATAGCAGACATTTGTCAATAAAGTCCTGCAGTGCTCACTCCGACACAAGCACTTCACATTTGTCCAACACACGAAGCACAACGTGAGAATCAGCAGCATGTCGTAGAGAGAGTTCAGAAACACACGTGCACATATTTCTTATTCTTTATATTTAGGTGACGATGCATGGTGGGGAGCCGAAGAGATCTGTAAGGCTGGAACAAAGAAATATATGATTGGAGCTTCATCCCTGCATCTGAGACCGGAGCGTGTCCACGGAGTTACATAGAAAATAAAATATTAGTTTTTAAATCGATTTTTGATGTCCTTGTGTTTCATTTTTTTAAATCTAGATTTCGTCGGCGGTCGTCTTCTGTTCACTTCTGACGATCCTGGGAGGAAGAGATGAGAGAAGACAAGATTCATCCATTTCTCATCATATTATCAACACAGTGCTTCTCAAAGTGTGGTCCGTGAGCGCCCCCTAGTGGTCCGTGAGCATATTGGTAAAATGTCACATTTGAAATAAATAAATAGGGCTGTGCGATTATGGCAAAAATCATAATCACGATTATTTTTGGTCAATAGTTGATATCACGATTATTAAATACATTGTCTTTGAAAACATCCATTTATTGAACTTTAAAACAAATACAAATAATAATTTGAACAGTATCTTATAACTGTTGATTACCCTGAACGTATAATTCAACTGAAAAACTTTAAATAAATAATATCAAAAATAATAAATACCAATAAACAAGATCAACAAATATTTTGGAGCGTACTTCCAAAAGCTACTTATCATATATAAAAATATGATAAATAGGTGACCTTTAAAACCAACATTTCCCCTCTAAAAGTATTTGTATTGTGTTAACATGAACATGTGTACGTTTCACAGAGATGTTAATAAAGCAGATGTTACCTGATCGATTCTGGACCGGTTCTGTATTGGGGCAGGTTCATAGCTCTGGAAAAGAAATGTGGTTATGTTAGAAAAACACGTCATCATATTTTAATATTTCATCATCAAACCTTCAAACTGTTTTAATGAAGATAAAGAGAAATCAGCTTTGAGACTGTTATAAGGGGGAGGGTCTTTTTTTACAACGTTTATTACTTTTAAAGGTCCCCTATTATACTCTTTTTTTTCATCAATATCTCAGATATATACAGAGCCTGTCTCTGATTGGCTGAAACACCAAACAGATCATTGCAGCATTACCCATAATCCCCTCTGTTTCAGCCCTGTTTCCAAAGTGCTGATTCTCTGTCTGTTACTTTAGACGAAAATAAGGAGCCCCTCCCCACGCCCCTCTGAAGCGGCTTTCACACCGGCGCTTTTCACTTTCTAGCTCCTCGCGAGAGCTTTTCTGGTTCAGCTCCCGTTTCCCTTTTCAGCTCCCGCTCTGTTCACACTGCCCAGAGCTGCCGCTGCTGCGTCATGACGTCACAGTTTACGTCGCTGATTTTCTCCCACAACAACAACGGGCCGGGGACTGCATCGGGTCGTGTTGCTTTTAATCATACGAAGCCAGATTAAATTAAATAACGACTTCTCCAACCTTATACTTTTCTCCAGAGTGCCGTGGTTCATTGTTTATTAATGTGTTTCAGCGGCATTTACCGACCGCTGCAGTGGCTGCACTTCCACGGGAGTTTATTGTCCCGTTAGCTCCGGGTTAGCTCACACGGCTCTAAAGTATTCACTGTCTGACTGTCACACAAGCAGCTGATACATATCCCCAGTTCCCCTTAAGTGAATGTGTGTCAGTCTGAATTGACGCTGTTTGGCATCACAACGCTGTTATGAAAGTTTCTCTGGTATAACATGGGTGATGTTAGCATAGCAACCGAAGCTAAACTGACTACTTGCTAAGCCGTTTTCTATAGGCACATTTTACCGGCGTATTTTTCATTATGATTCTACTTGTGATAGTCGGACATGACAACCTGTATAGCCCATGTATCTCCACAATGATCAATAACAGCGAACGGATGGTCAAAGTAAGGTTTCCTGCACGCCTCGACGTAAGAGACGTAAGCGACGCCGCGTCATAGCTCCGAAGCTCTTTCCTCTGGACCGACAATTTTTTGGAGCTGGAAGTGAACCGCATTCCGGAGCTATGACGCGCCGCCGCTGCGGTGTGAACAGGAAAAACCGGCGCTTTTCAGGCTCAGGCTCCCAGCAGGAGCTGGAAAAGCGCCGGTGTGAAAGGGGTATGAGAGAGATTTGGTTACAAAGAACTCAATGGTGCTCTAGGAGGAGATTCAGGTGATAAGGGGGGGGGGGGTTACCTTGGTTGCTGATTGGCTAATGGTTACACAAGACAAAACATCGTTATGACATCATAAAGTGGCCAAAATCTGATCAGCTCATTTTCAGACAGGTTTTTATAGAAATGGATCAAAAAGAGAGAGAATCTTTGTTCCTGAAACTTTCAGAGTCTCTTTCCACAGAGGGGACACATGTTGATGAAGAAGAGACATGAAGAAGAGGGGACACATGTTGATGTAGAAGAGACATGAAGAAGAGGGGACACATGTTGATGTAGAAGAGACATGAAGAAGAGGGGACACATGTTGATGTAGAAGAGACATGAAGAAGAGGGGACACATGTTGATGTAGAAGAGACATGAAGAAGAGGGGACACATGTTGATGTAGAAGAGACATGAAGAAGAGGGGACACATGTTGATGTAGAAGAGACATGAAGAAGAGGGGACACATGTTGATGTAGAAGAGACATGAAGAAGAGGGGACACATGTTGATGTAGAAGAGACATGAAGAAGAGGGGACACATGTTGATGTAGAGAGACATGAAGAAGAGGGGACACATGTTGATGTAGAAGAGACATGAAGAAGAGGGGACACATGTTGATGTAGAAGAGACATGAAGAAGAGGGGACACATGTTGATGAAGAAGAGACATGAAGAAGAGGGGACACATGTTGATGAAGAAGAGACATGAAGAAGAGGGGACACATGTTGATGTAGAAGAGACATGAAGAAGAGGGGACACATGTTGATGTAGAAGAGACATGAAGAAGAGGGGACACATGTTGATGTAGAAGAGACATGAAGAAGAGGGGACACATGTTGATGTAGAAGAGACATGAAGAAGAGGGGACACATGTTGATGTAGAAGAGACATGAAGAAGAGGGGACACATGGTGATGTAGAAGAGACATGAAGAAGAGGGGACACATGTTGATGTAGAAGAGACATGAAGAAGTGGATTTTGCATAATAGGTGACTTTGAAGTCTTGAGGGAGCTCCTACCTTCTTCACCACCTCCTCCTCCTCCTGCTTCTTCTCGTAGTGGGAGAAGTCGTCGAAGATGGAGGTGGTGTGTTTGTACTGGGCGATGATCTTCAGCACCTGCTTGGCCTTCTCCAGAGGAACCTCCTGAGTGTCGCGTGAGTTGGTGACGGGCTTGTTGTCGTTGTTCTCCAGGCGGATGTGGCGCAGCTGGCTGTTGGGCACGTCCTTCACGAACAGCCAGTGGACGTCGAACTTCCCCTTCCACTTGTCCTGCGCCCAAACCCCCGCGCTGGTGCCGTAATCCACGGGCGAACGCATCTCCGCCACGCCGCAGAAGTGCCCGCTGCCGTTCACGCTGTACAGCAGGTACACCGGGCCCTTGGAGCTCATGGTCCTGAAGGCCGAGTCCAGACGCTTGTTCCCGTGCTCCGTGCTGCACCAGATGGAGTACTTGATGGAGCGGTGGATGTCGTCCTCGCTGGAAGAGAAGATAATACTTGTTTTATGCATTCATTAATTTATTGAACAGGGACAGTGCACATTGCATTGGTTGGGTTTTATGTATACATCTCTGCTTGGGCTGGTTCCCTCTTAGATTTGCAAGTATATGTGTAAAAAACAATTTGCATATTGACTGGTTATGTGCCATTTCATTTGTGTTGTACAGCTGTATTCGTCTGCCTGTATTGTTTGTGTTTTATCTGTTGTAACTTTGTTCATGCTGCCCTCTTGGCCAGGTCGCTCTTGAAAAATACATGTTCATTTCAATGAGACTTTTTACCTGGTTAAATAAAGGATATATATATATATGTTACATGTTGGGATCATGGACCCCTTGTTTCTGTTGTGGGATTGTGAAGCGCTATATGTGACATGTGCAGTGGTGACTCGTCATTAGGGGCACAGCAAAATATGAAACAAATATATATCTTAAAATATATTTTAAGATCATGTTTAGTCATCTGATTTGTCTGTACATTGCTGTTTTAGTCTACACTGCGCATGCTCAGAGTTTTTTTGTATTCAATGTATGCGGCAAAAAAATTATCACCGGTGGGGCAAAGTGCTGGCAACCCCACCAAACGTCATCTCATAATTCAGAGCTGATTGGCTGTAAGTATGTGTGCTGCGAAAAGTGTAGTTGTGAAGAGGAGACGAGAGAGAGCAGCGTAGAGCGATTACAATCAGTCAAACGGAAAGAAAATGAATGAAGTTGACCGTCTACTTCAGCTTTGGTAAGTTCATTTTATGTCATATATTTTGTTGATCTTCTGTGTTTTGCCTTTAGGCTATTGCTCTGCTGGATCCATTGATATTGTAACACGGTATTGTTAACATGGCCCACCAGTGCAGAAATACCCGGATGTTGACAAGCAAGCCTCTATCACGACTTTTGGTTCAATATAACACGCACTTTTGTGGAGAATACGAAGATTTTTTCAGTTCTTGTCAAGCAAATGTATTTGTACTACGTATGTTACTAAAGAGGTTTCAGATTGGCCAGTGTCCATGTGAAGTTATCGTCATCTCTCGGCGTGAAAACAGTATTTCCCGTGTCGGCGTTTTCATAGTAACGTGGTTGCTAGGGACGCATCTCTCGCTGCCGGAAATGAGTATTCTCGTCACTGTCCAACACATTCTCACTCCCAACTCGACGGATCCCTTGGCGTCACTATCAACGCAGTGGGGGGCCCTTTAGCGCCAATTTTCAACTATCCGGGAGTCCCATTGACTTGCATAGAGCGACACCCCCCCCCCCCCTCTCTCTTAGGGCTGTGCATCTTCACTGGTCTCACGATTCGATTACGATTATCCTGTCAACGATTCGATATCCCGATGCATAACAATGCGTTGCATCCTCAATTTTCTATATTACTGCACATGGCTTCTTTTTCATCAATGAATACATGCAGTTAGATAAATATGAACTCCCTTTTTATTATTTAGAAAGTGCGTCAGAAATCAATAACATACATTTCTTGACATTAAATTATAAACCAAAGTAAACCAATTGCAGTGGCGGCTGGTGGAAAATATTTTAGGTGGGGCTGTGGAAATGGTGATCAAACAATACTAGAGGCGTCCGGGGGGATGCTCCCCCGGTAATTTTTTTTGAGAAAAGACCCCTTAAATCATGACTTCTGGTGATGTTAGAGGGGGGGAGGGGGGGGGGGGGGGGAGAAGGACAATTTGAGGCTTAAAAATATGAGAAGACTGATCAATACCTCCATAACTTCAGTGTGGTTAGCTATGAATCTTCCAAAACTTCCAAACACCTTGTCCTGGACATAGTCTCTACAGCATAAACTGTGCAACAGTACAGTAGGCCCACACAAACTGCAGAACACCGGGGCTTTGGGAACACTGATTTAATTCCCATTTAACCTGTTAAGGGGCCTTTTTCCCCCGTTTTTTTTCTCACGAAACTGTGTCTCAGGGCTTCTTAAAATGTAATAAACTATTCATGTGTCCTACTCAGAGGAAACGCATCTAACTGATGATATGAACCATGTTTACCGAAACAAAACACAAGTCTTACAAGAAGCGTCTAAATGAGCCCTGAGCGAAAAAATGCTAACGCACTCTAGGTATAAATCAATCGATATACTTATCGGATATGCACAAACAAGCTTACAAGCTGAGATTCCACAAATTCTAGAAATATAAGTATCATCACTGAGCGATCAGAACTCGTGACAGGGGAAGCAAATACAGACATCACACGACGTAGCTTTAGGTAGCAAAACACGGAGATATGCTCACCTTTTGCAGAATAACAATTCTGATCAAAAACGAGAAAAACGCAGCTGAAGGTTAATCCATAGGTTAATCCAATGTGTCTGTCACTTTGAAAAATGATTGATGATCCATAATTCAATTTTTATGTAAAAAACGAAGTTTTCATTAGCTGCTAATGGTAGCTTCCAGAGTGTATGACAGCTTCCTGTTTTGTCTCCTTGGATACGAGTCCAAACAACTCACAGACTGCACCGGGCGCTGACCTAGGAGCCCTGTGACCATCAGATTTGACGACGCTGATTGGCTGAAATTATGTTTTCGCGGCATAGTTTACACGTTACAGATAGCAACAGTCAGCTGCTAGTGGCTGCTGCTGCACTGGTTGAGGGCTCCTCTCTTAGCGCCCAGACGAGAGAAGGTACACGGGCAAGGCCAGGCAGGAAACATGTGACTTATCAGTAACTTTAGACATCGTAACACAATTTTAAACGAGATTTTATTGTAGATTATACATTTTACTGATACCAATTATATAATATTTACCTTGTTCATTAAAAATAAAAATAAAAATATATATCTTTTTTTAAAAATTTTTTTTTTTTTTTTTTTTTTAATATGGGAAGAGGTGGGGCGGCGCCCCTAGCGCCCCTATGGACCGGCCGCCACTGGATGTGTGTCTCTGAGCCGCAGCGACACGGACTGATTCAGAGCGGGTCATTCTCCTTTTGGTTCTGGACTGGTGTTCTTGTGCTGGTGGATGAAGCAGACTGCTGTGTTTGGAGTCGCTGTGCCGCTGTCACTTCTGTACCCTGATCTCTGCGTCACCGACCGATTTGATATTCGTGTGACAGAAAAATTAAAAAAACGTTATTGTCCAGCCGCGGCCGGAAGATCAGGAAGCAACGTTACTATGCTATTATGTTGTCCCTGCATCGATGCAGAATCGTCCACGTCCGCATAACGATGCATCATAGAAACGATTAATTTCAACACCCCTTCTCTCTCTATCGGAGCCATGGATAGCCAGAAGCTTATATATACTGTATATAAACATCTACGTTTTTCGTGCCCCACCACTTTTGTACATATAGAAACGCCACGGGACATGTGTGTAGTAACGCGTGTTCTTTGCATTTGATTGTTCTCTTTTATCCTTTCGCCTCTATCTACTTGTCTTTCATCCTTTCTTTATAACTAATGCTGTTGATGTATTGTGATTTGAAAAAGGTGTCCATTATCATCTGGTCGGGGACAACAGCTGGAAATTAGCAATGTTGGCTAAAGCTGCCCCATTTACTGTTTTTTGTGACAGTTGATCAATGGGGACTGTCCACGACACTATGAACAAATAAACTAAACTAAACATTAATCAAAATGTCTGTAAAGGTGCCAGAGTTAGCTATTTTTCATCTGTCAAGTCAACTTCATACGATAATACTTTAATGGTCAGATCAGGTCTGAAATGCTCCTTGCATCACAGCAGCTCCATGTGTAACATCAACAGACAAATATCAAGACACAATACGTGAACAACAAACATGTAACATAACAGCAGGATCAGTGAGAGCTGCTCAAAGAGCCTTCAGCGTGCATCTGATCTGGAGCTCTGTGTTTACTGAGAGGACCGACTGGAGCACAAAGGATGCTTCAGTCTGACTTTATTGAATCTCCATCAGATGGTAGCAGTTCAGATTCTCTGCTCAGAGCATGCTGTGGGTCCCAGGTGATGCTGTTGGAGCCTCTCAGGTTATTATGGGATGCTGAGTCAGAAAGCCTCTGGCAGGGTGGACCAACAATCTTTGAGCAGATAAAATAAGACGGACCTTTATTAATCCCTGTGGGGAAATTCAGTATTACAGGACCGCACAGATTCACATAGATTAGAGATTAATAAACTTAAAGATAAAATCAAAGATACAAATACAATTATATACAGTTAAGTAACTTTAAAGATCTCCTATCATGCTATTTTTAGGCATATATTATGGGTCTCAGATATGCTCAAACTCTTTCTCTCTCTCTCAGGTTTACCACAAGGTGAGTTGTGCTAATGTCAACAAAGACCATATTACGTCCAAAACACGTTGCTCCTTTTGTGCTGTCTTAAACCTCATTTTATGAATTGTAAGGTGTCCTTGAGTGCTTTGAAAGGCGCCTCTAAATAGAATGAATTAATATTATTATTATTATTACACATACGAGGAGTTTGCTTTGGTTTAAATGGTGCAGAAGTTTTTTTTATTTTCATTAAAACATCAAGAAATAGTGCTTTTATATGTATATATAACTTATTTAAACTATTTTAAGGATATTTTAAATAACATATTATGGTCTGTGAGACTGGACACAACTTCTCCATCACATCACAGTTTCAGTGATTACAGTTATTAAAGCACTGAGAGGACAGTTTTATTTTTCTGTTTTCTAAGTCTGATCCAAAGGGTTTTCTCTCCTGTGTTTATGAGATAAGAAGAGGTGAAAAGAAAGGGAATATGTGTCTTAGTTCTGTATTTAAAAAACTAAATCTCTACAAACATCACAGGGGAAAAGTTTACAGGTGAATGGAATAAATATAAATACATATTTCAGTTCCTAAATTAAAAAGAATCCGTTAAAAACACATTTTATTATTTATTCAGCTCCCTATTTTATTTGTAATCTGTGAAAACATTGGCAGGGAAACAAAGATGCACGGTGACATTTTTAATTTATTATTTTCTAACCATTACTTCTAAGTTTGAGTGGTTTTCTGTGTGTTGTAGTTTTCATTTTGGCCACAAGAGGCTGACTTTAATTTCCCCAAGCATAGTTTCCCCTCTTGTGGCGAA